CAATTTAGGGTGCTTTGAAGCTTGTACATATTTGTGCATCCAGGGTCCCCTTTTCTACAGCATGGAACCAGAGCAAGAAATAGCCTTTTCATCTTTTAGGGTTACAATCAACTCTTTTTTTTCATGGCACAATGAGACATGAGAGGAAAGGGGGGAGGAAGAACCTCTTTTTCTCAGGGCCTCTTAATACTCTAGCCCATGTACAATAAAAGGGAAAATCTCAATAATATCTCTTTCCATAAATACTTATTGGATGATTGAGTAATATTAATAGCGAACTGCTGCTTTAAGGTTTACAAAGACTCTTTACAAATAACATCTCATTTGATCATCACAACTACCCTTGGAGGTAGGTGCTTTTATAATCCTTATTTTACAGTTGAAGAAACTGAGGCAATCAGAGGTTAAGTGACTTGCCCAGGAAGTGTCTGAGGTGACTTTATTTCAAGTCTTCTCAACTCCAGGTCCACTATTCTGTCCACTGCACCACCTAGGTGCCTGATTGATTTCTAAAAGTTTGTAAAGTATTTTCTTTATGACCCTGTAACCAGCAATGTACCTATTAGTATTTTTATTTTACAAATTAGTAAATTGAGGTAAGAGTCACATAGCTAATCTGTCAGAGAAGGGACTCAAAAACTTGATCTTTTTACTCTTACTCCACTATCATGTCCATCCTTCATTGCCTGATCAGAGCTAGTCACTTTAAATAAAATGTGTTAAGTATTGGATTGTCATGTGTGTGTGCATGTGTGCGCACGTGTAGGTTTGAAGAATTACAGATCCTGGCCAGAAGCAGTAGGGAGGGTCATTACCCATAGGGTCTTAGATATCAGGCTGAAGGGACTTCAGAGGTCACCTAGTCCAGCCCCCTCATTTTACAGATAAAAAAACTGGGGTCCAGAAAGGGTAAGTGACTTAAGTGACCATGATCATACAGTTACTAAGTGTTAAAGCTAGGATTTGAATTCACGTCCTCTCCAAATCCACACTGCTTTGAACTCAAAGACAGCTTAATTCTTTAGAACTTGGTTTATGTTAATTTGTCTCAAGGTTGGTCACTGTCTTGGAATGTCATTTGAAGTATTCAAGCACTAGGTTTACTAAACCAGAGCCTAGTACAATGCCTGGCATGTTGGAGGTGCTTAATAAACACTTAAGAAAATAAAATGATAAAAACAAGGGGTTCTTAATCTGGGGTCCACTGGGAGTTCATGAACTTGGCTGGGAAAAATATTTTTTCATTTTCAGTAACCTCCAACTGAAGTTAACATTTTCTTCAACTATTTAAAAACAGTATTCTGAGAAGACGACCAATGGCTTCACCAGATTGCAAAATGGGTTCCGTGACATAGAAAAAGGTTAAGAACCCCTAACATAAGCAATGGTGTACAAAATCTTCATAAAGATCTGTAGCACTGTCAAAGAAATCAAATCAAAATGTTGTCAATTTGCAGACGCTGGTGTCCAAGAAACAGGCATGACTGAAACTGGTCTACCCTTCACCTGCAAAAGACAGACTACCCAACAGTTTTGGGGAAAAAATGGCAGAGGGAGGTGCAAGAACCACTCCTTGCAGGAGGCAAACTTAAAGCTGTAGAAGGTAAACAGTAGTTTGTTCATCAAAGGATATCTTTAACTGGTTCATTATGTTACCTTACTTATCATACCAAGTCAGGGCTACCTTGTATGACAAAATGCTGCTCTGGACGAAGGTGCTGGCACGAAGCAATGAAAACACCAGCACTTACTCAGTTCTCCTCTGGCACGCATCTGGTAAGTGAATGTTTCCTTCCTTATTTTGGTTTGACAACTGACCTGGACTCCTGCTAATGATATGTCCCTTCTTCAATCCAATTTGTAGTGACAAAGTAATACCTACAGCATCACTGGGTAGCAAAATTCTGTGGACTACTCCAGACCAAAACAGGTGTTCCCATTTTCTTGTTCACCAAACTTTATTGGTGCCTTTAGAGTAGCTAATGGAATCTTTCCATGGATTTAGGATCACAGGATTTCAAATGGAAGCACAATCTAGTACTAACCCCTCGAACAGGAAGAAAATGAGGTCTAGAGATATGAGATAAATTAGTCAAAGTAGTAGCTGAGCTGGGTTCTTGGATCCAAATCCTACTGATGCTGCCTCATATTCAATTACGGAATAAAGAGATCCCCAAATTCATGACATGTATGTTAGTCTGGAAGGAATCTTCAAAATCATTTTGTTTTACTCCCTCACTTCAGAGGTTGAAAAAGTGAAGAAAAAAGAAGGGAAATGACTCCTCCAAGATTACAGTAGGTGAATGAATAACCTGTCTAGGAACAGAACCCAGTGCTATTCCCAATATACTGCCTTTATACTTGGTTCTGCATTCCTCTACCATCGCTAGTTATTCACCTAACCTATCTTTAGAAATAGGATTGATTCCAGGGTTCCACAGTGAAATCAATGGGTCTTTGCCAAATTCCAAAGGGGAGAGGTTGTAAATAAGAAAAATTGAAGTTTGTCCTTTGGGAAGAGCAAAACAGTGGACTATTAATAATTTATAAATATTCCCAAAACAAACAAGATTCTAAAGGCATTTTTTTTTATTCTAAAGCAACTCAAAAACTTGAATCCCTGAAAGACTGATCTAGGATCAGAACAGTCTTAAATTTTAGAATGATTACACTGAGCTTCTACCAACCCTTAAAAAATAGGTCTATTTTCTTCAGCCTCAAGCCTTTTCTTCCTATATCCCTCCCCTATTCTAATTTCCATAGCGTTACATCTAGATGTGTGCAATATTTATAAGAATGTTTAGGACTTTAATGACCAAGAGTAATTATTTTTTATCTCTGCTTAAACTGACTAAAATTTGAGTCAGATTTAATACTGCAGGCATGTCCTACTGTTGTGTATACAGTGGTGTAGTAAAGTGCTGGGCCTGGAGTCAATAAGCCCTGACTTCAGCACTGCCTCAGACATTTACTAGCTATGAAACTGAGCAAGTCACTTAACCTCTGTCTGCCTCAGTTTCCTCAACTGTAAAATGGGCACCTACCTCCCATGCTAGTTGTGAGAATAAAATGAGATAACTGTAAAATGTGTAGCACAGTGCCTGGCATAGCAGGCACCTAAATACATGTTTCCCTTACCCTTTCATATATGAGTACCAGAATGATAATGTACAAGAAATTTGAATGGTTGTATATAAGTGAAGTTAGGATTAGACTGAATTTGTTTTGCACCAGGGGACAGAATTAGGATTGTCCCCTGGGGCAGTGGAGTTATGAGTTATGAGTAGAAGTTAAAAGGATGTAAATTTTAGCTCAATATTTTCCATCAGTCAGAAACTATCCAACAATGGAATAGACTGAGTCTCATAATGGTCAATAAAGTACTGAGAGATACAACATGTTTACAACCTAATACTTTACATAATTTCTAGAAGGCTGCTTTTAAAGTGTGTATTGTAGCTTTGACTAGGGATAATTATTTCCAAAGGAAACTGACATATTAACACTTTCAGTTTGAATATGGTCAATGGCAAGTAATATCCCAAATCAACATCCTTCAACTCATGTAAGATAACAGTTGTGTCAAACATGGCCAGCTGGCCATAACACTTCCAAGTGCAGCTTGAACAGATTAGAATGTAATTGGGAAATACTTAACAAAACACATAAAAATACAATAAAACATAGATAATATTATACTTTAAGACCAAATCAATGTGCAGGCTGTAGGAATCCTTATGTATGAATTAGTGGTCCCCATTTGTGAGTGTGACACCACAATAACACAAATAACTATCTACCCTACAGGGTTCTCTCACGTATAGAGTATAATTTAAGTAATTAAGTAATTAAATGTTCACAAAACCACAAGGTCAGTTAGGCCAAAGTTTCTTTAGTGTTTAATATGCATGATTATTGTCCTGGATGTAATTCGATTTTCCATCTGTAGTTTCCTACAAATGGATAGGAAATACACAATTAGAATATGACACAGTATTCCAAACCCTCTTCTAAGACATCACTGTACTTAGTGGAAAAAACTCAAATTAGGTATCTAAGGAAGAGCCAGAGTTTGTTTTTTGCTTTTTTTTTTTTTTTTTTTTGCACACTCAAGATTCTGTTTCAATTGTTGGTAATTTTATGCTTCTTAAAATGTTGGTGGTGCTTGTGTCAAAGGACATCAAGGATGATTTGTCATATGGTACAAGCTAGGAAATAACCATGAAAAGCAGTCTTCCATTCCTGTTGTGTCTTTCATAATAGCTCTTTACTACAATATGTAGTAAATACTGTAATACTCAGATGCAACTGTAATTGCTCATCTGTGAAACAAATCCTTCTGTGCTTTGACTAAAAAATGCCACATATAGTAAATACTTATGTAGCCTTCATTCTGAAGTTTGATTAAAAATGATGCCAAAGTTTTGAACTTCTAGAATCTGGACCCATCTCTTGATTTTCAGACTTGGATCTTCAGTAAGATGACTATAGTCTACTTTTTGCTGATGTCCTAGGACTAAGTGACCAATTTACCCATCCTGGAGTGGAAGTCCAAATTATCCACACAGGTAAGGAGAGCACAAAGGCAAGCTTCCTCAGCCACTATTTGGTCTGTACATTTCTCCTTAAGGAGAAAGAGAGATTTAGTTAAATTTTGGGGCTTTTGATCCATCAAGAGCATTAGGGTATCTAGTTGTTAAAGGTATACTTAGAATCCATCAATCCAAACCCTTAAGACCTAGTGTGACACTAATCCAGTGAAACAATCACATGGACCCACGCCCTGTGTTCCATATTTTGGGGAATACAGTGTAGCACACATCCCATACTTTTAATTAATGAAGTCCTTGTCTTTTCTAGGTATTTTTAACTTTCACTTAGGGTGATAAATGATCCCAGTAACATCAAATGAAATACTTATTTTATATAGTTTTGTTGCTCTGTGGTTTAGGTTTTCACCAAATAAACACCCAAAAAGGTAAAATTGTATATGACTTTTTTAATGAGAAATATTTTTCTACTTGGCAATTGCTGGAGTGACAGTTTTTCTGGAGGATGTTATACAAATATGTTTGGAGAGAACCTGAGATAAAGGGTCACTTGTATGCAACTTAATTAGTTTAAAAGAAAAAAAAATTAGACCTGAGAAATAATTAGACATCTTGGATCATCTTACATTTGATTGATTAGTATGAAAAGCACCTTTATGCTTAATCCTTAATCATGCTTAGATTACTGTAAAGTTTCCAAATGCAAATTGACCTTATAGTTGTAATCTAATTTTTGACCTCAGAAGACATATGTAAGTTAACTATGATTATAGATCTTTGCACAAAAGGATTAATGTTGTCAAAGGAATTGAATGGTAAACTTAAAAAACACAAACTTTGAAGATTCCATGTCATAACACACAAAGGCCTTTAAAAAAAAATTATCCTTGTAGAAAAGAACAGAAGGAAGGTAGAGACTGAGTTCTAGAGAATAAATTCAGTATAGTATTAGTAGTTTCATGAATAGCCGCAGTGAAATTGAAATTTAAAGGCCTGGAGAGGACAAGGTGTTCAAGGAATAAAATAATTATTAACCAGACATTTAATTCAACAAAAGAATGATTACATCAAAACTGAGCCAATTTAACAGAAAATAAACAAGCTGCATATTTAAAATAGTTTAATATTAATGTTTTTCTAAGTTAGAAATACTCTTAAATGATGATGAAAATTACTAGGTGAAAACCATTTTCCCCAATCACCAAATTACATTTATACATATAATACAGAGCTGATTGTAATTAGAAACATTATTATTAAAATAAAGGTTTAATAGATACAAAGGATTTCTTATCTCCACAACTTAGCATTGCTGGGAAGTACATTTACCCATATTTAAAGTACTCTACTAACATTAAACTATCTTAAGTGCAATTTTAAAACAAATCTATGATTGCAGCATCCATCTTCCTGAATTATATATTGAAGTCAGAAAAATGACTCTCTGAGTGCATTCCTAGGTTGTCTTACCACCTCAAGTATAAAAAAATCAGTGCAAAAAACAAACAATGGTTAAGTACTATTTTATAACAACTGAACTTGAGGGTATTTTTGTCCAAGAAACATTTTATCTTACACTATGTATATACATACATACATACATACATATATATGTATGTGTATATATATATATGCATATATATATGATATATATATTTTAATTACATTGAACTTTAAAGTAAAAAGCAAGAAAACCTAGTTTCTCATTTTAACTGCAATACCAAAAGAATTACTTTAAAACAGAAAATTCTTTGGGTAAGCAGCCAAGGAAACAACACTGGAAAAGGACCTATGACGTTACTCTTCTGTACCACACTATGTTCCCCAGAATTCCAGGTTTACATTCGGCCATTTTAGACACGTCGATGCTTTGTGGCTGAGGAGAGCAGCTCTTGGTGCCCTTGTCATTATTCCTTGTCCTGGGGTGGGTTTTGTTCGCAGTAGTGGGATGGCTACACTACAGTTCCACTTGGAGAATTGGCCTGGTTTTGGGATGACAATAAACCCTGCAAACAAAGCAGTTTACATTAATCCAGCAAAAGAACCCGACATCTAAGAACACATTTATACTAGTAGTTATTTCCACCATCTTAATCAACAGGTAAGTTTTATTTGGTAACCCGTTTTATCACATAATTCAATTGTTTTTCATAAAGTTATGCTCCTACGCAGACATTAAATTCATAATTACTAAGTAAAACAAAGCAAAATTCATTGAGCCCCCAAATCCATGCATATCTAATACTTTAGATGTAATACCCCTGGGGAAAAGGAAAGAAATTGCTCATCTTTTTGGAAGGAAGTTAGACTTAGGCCTGTGAAAGAGATGGATGTCCTACGGTAGGACTGTTTGCTATGCTTTCGTCCTCCAAAATAAGCCATTTATTTCCTCTTCACCAGTAGTGAACTGACCATGAATGAAGTGAGACATGTTTGGGAATTATAGTTCACAAGTGACCTGCACAACTGAATGAGGGGGTAACACGAAATAAAGGCAATCCCAGACACGTTTTAATTGTAGGTGATTTCTCTCATGAGAGGGAAAATACTTTTCAAGCATGTTTCAGTGTATAGCAAGTAACTGTGGATTTTTTGGGGGGTGGGGGTTGGGTGGGGAGGAGGCAGAGAGAGAGGGTTTGCTGAATTACAGAAGAACAAACCAATGGTTGTTCTTGGGTAAAATAAATAAGGCTTTGGTGAATGTAAAAATTGAACAAAGAGTTCAAAAGCCAGTGCCAACCACTGAAGCATTAAGGATTAGAATGAAGGGTGGGATTTTTGGAACAACGTTAACAGGATGCCTGAAACTCCTGCATATCACTGGGAGTGTGTTGGTCTAACTGTTCAAAATAAATCATGTTGCTTTATGATGGCAGGCAGAAAATGAGACCCATATCAAACTTCTCTAACTTCAGGTTGGTGCCATTCTACATAAACTTAAGCATATTTAATCTTTTCCAAAATAAATGGCTATTACAATATTCTGAGATATTTACAGTTCTTAATTCTATATTCACTGAATATAATACTTTGCTTTTACAAGAGCATAACACCAAAGTTGCAAATCTTCCATTTTAGGCACATAAACTCAATTATTCTTAAAGCCAGGCTGAAAAGTACTGAAGTATTGTTTATAAAGCTAAGACTAAAAAAGTGTGCCAGATACAGTATTTATTTTTCACATTCGGGATTTGTAGCAGATAAAATGGCTATCTATACCTGAACAGCATTCATTGACAAAGTTACATGCACCTTGTTCTAGGTAACCAGTGGGACTATAGTTATGCTACCACTTAAGTAATTTTATGTACAGATCATTTCTTACCTTAAAGTTAGGTTCCTGTAACTTAGATCCTTTAATCTAGACAAGACCAGGAAGCAAATACCAATTGGAATGTAGAATTTGACACCTCTTCAGAATCTATAGGAGCTCTTTTCCTCTCAGATCCAAGAACCCAGGAACCACTACTGAGAAAAGGAAAGAACCCTGTTCTGACTTCTAAACCAAAAGAACACGTTTCTGGATTGGTGGTAATGAGTCTCAAAACCTAGCCCAACTAAACTCTTTCCTGCTAACTCAGATCCACCAAGTCAGATGTGATGAAATCTACCAGGATAGGTGGATAAAGAAAACTGCATTTTCCAGTTCCCCAACAAGCCTAGAGAATGCTGGTTAGCTTCTAGATGTGATGCATATTAGCTTTTTGAATTCTAACCACAGGAAGTTATATATATAAAGTCTCCCATATGAATCTCAGAATTGGAAGGGATCTTATAGTTCATCTTAGTCAAATCAGAAGCCTGAGGAAAAGTCATTTTAAGTGGTCAATGCAACCAAATGAAAGAACTGCATATTTTGAACAAACAAAAGAGCTTCAAGCAAACTCCCAAAGAAATATCTGGCTAAGAATTTCTACAATAAAATGTTTGTGGAATAAGGAATACTTTAATGAAACAACAAATGGCATGTTCTTGGAGAATCTCTTGAGAATTTAAGACTCATTTACCTAGAATATAGTAAGGGAGTTTGTTGGATGAGTTACTTGGTTCTAAGGGATAAACTATCTATCTACCTACTCACCTATCTAAAAGATTGTCTCATTCCTGAAATAAAAATGAGCAAACTATCAAAACATAATCGTCTTAGATTCCTGTAAAGGAAAAATGAACCATTGTGATAAAAATAGATGCAGGCTTTCTGCTCTTACCCTCCCTCCTCAAGCTGTGTTTGTTGTGCTTGCACCTGACCTACTCATCACTCCTCCAAGCAAGCGAAGTCTGTAGTGCTTCAGGGAGAAAACTCCTTTGAGAAAGGTTCTACCTACAGGCCCACCCAGCATTAGAGGAGTCCTACTGAGTTAACATTCTCTACTAGGGGCCTATCATTATAGGACAGAAGTATTGCCACACCCATGATCTTCCATTCTTAATGTTTTGTCTCTACCTTCAATGCATATGGCACCTTCCTTCTAAGAAACTAAAGTACTTCACATACCTTGTCACTTATCCTTACTGCTTTGAGAGAAAAATTCCTGTTTTACTGAGGTTACAGAGAGGCTTGGTCAGTGGCTGGATGGGCTGCATTATTCCCTTCCAGAAACTTGGATTTAAATTCTACCTCCATTATTTGTAAAACCATGAGCAAATTACTTAACCCTTAACCTTTCTTAGCCTCATTTCCTACCATTATAAAATAGGGATCATACAGTTTCATGTCTGTAAAATTATTGTGAGGAAAGTACTACAGAAATCAATTACTACAAAAGGCATTTCAAGGATGCTAAGGATGATGACAGCAAAGTTTTGCGAAGCACTTTACACAGCCATTTGGTCCTCACAACAATTTGGCGAGGTCAGTGGTATTAACTCATTTTATAGATGACAATAATGGCCAAGGTTCACATAGCTAAAGTATCTAAAGCAGGATTTGAACTCAGCCTCCCTGACTTTAAGTACAGCACTCTGGCCACCTTGGACAGAACATAATCTTTTAGGGCTTGGCTCTAGAAAGGACTTTAGAGGTTCAGTCCCAACTCAGACTTTACAGATGTACAAAGGTTAAACAATTTGTTTAAAGAGAGCACAACCTAGAATGAGACTAGGGAGTCTGTGTCCTAACTCCAAATCCAGTGTTATTCCTACCACATCCATTGCCTTCTCTATATGAATAGATATTATTAGCAATATCACATTTTAATAATACTTGATCAAGTTTACTAGGTGCTTTTCTTTTAATCCCCCAACAATGTTGTGAAGGAAGGGAAGGAGAGTAGGATAGTTAGTCCTCATTTAGGACAGAAACTGAGGCTCAAAGAGATGAAATTCCTTGCCCAAGATCACTGAGCATACTCTGAACCATACATCCTATTCTTAAGGTGCCATTAGCTAACTCAATTACTTAATGCATGGCAGCAGGCCAGCAGGCCCTTCTCTTATCTCTTGGGGCATTTTAATTTTTACTGAACATCAATTAGTAAGAGAGGGCTTTCTGATCAATCAGATTTTTCTGGATAACTGAGGATTAACCCTGTTAAACAATGGCAATGTGTTTCATTTTTAGAATGTACTTACATATCTTTTATCTGCATATAATGTAAGCTTGCAGTGCAATACTCTTGATGTGAAAGGGAGTGAGCTTAATGTGTGTAGATAGCAAGACATAACCTGTAAATTATCAATTAGTTAAATCTTTGATTATCAATCGGTAATTTTCTTCCTAACAGGCAGAAAAGATTCCAAAAGGGTTCTATTGGATAGCAAAGAGAAACAAACATAAATAAACTTATTTGTAATTTTAGAAGATATTAAGGGGAAAATCCCCTAAACTCAAAATAAGATCCTAGATTTTTGAAACATTAATAACAACAGCAACAACAATAATAATGTGTCTATCATTTTAGCGTGAAGAATTTGATAGTACTTTGATTAAATATTTTTTTATTATTATTATTATTTAGTTTTGGTCCAGACTTAGGATTTCATTTGTGTGGGGAATGGGAGAATGCATGAAGAAACAACTTTAATGAATGTAGATCCAGATTGGCAACTTGTGGGTGAACTGATTATTCTTTAAAGAGTTGCCTGAGGCACTGTTTCAGAAGCAAGGCTGAAACTCTGGTTACTGGATTGTAGAGTTGGGAAGGGCTTTAGAGGGCATTGATTCCAACTGAAACCTTGGAGAGGTTAAGTGACTTGCTCAGGGTCACACAGCTATGGTCTGAGATGGAAAGTTGAATCGAGGTCTTCCTTGCTGTCACTCTGGCAGTGCACCAGTCTTCTTGGCTTTTATGCCAACCCTGTATCAATTATACCATGCTACATTTCAAGTTTTTATGGGCATAAGACATAACTATTATTTCCACGTTTTATGGTCACAAAACACTATACAGTCATAATTTCATTTAATCCTCACAATTATCATGAGATAGGTGGTACAAATCTTATTATTCCTATTTAACAAATGAGGAAATGGGTTCAGAAATGTTTAGATGCCCAGACACAAATCTAGTAAGTGATATTGCCAAGACAGGAGAACAGACTTCACTTGAAAACCAATGTTCTTCTCGCCCCATTATGCTTTTTTCGTATGCATATAATGGCAATATCTTCGGTATTTCAAAGAGTATCCTTTCACTGAAAGTTTTCATAATAGAAGTTGAAATCATTTGATTGAGGCTGAACTAGACCACCTTTGAGGTTCTCCCCAACTTTGGTATTCTATGAATTTAAAGTTTAGGATGTCACTTACTTATATGTAATTTCTATCTATTCACAGAATGTATTTAACAGAAGTGTGTGTATCATGTAAACACACACATATACATACATATACATACATCCATAGCAATTCCTCAAAAAGCATATATACATTCTAAATATAAAACAAAGTGCACAGAGAAATTGTGATAAAACCACCAGTACTATTTATGATACTAACCCTAATGAATAAAAATAGAAATTCAAAATAGTAAAATTATATCTAATGCCCAAATAATGTAAACAGATTTTAAAGTGTCAGTTGAAAACAAAAAATGTTACCTAAAAGGGAAAGGCCAGGAAGATATGTTGAAACAGAACCCCCAGTATGATGTCAAGGTTATAATCAGTGATAAAGGGAAGATGGATAATCAAGATTACATTTCCCCCTGAAGATGGGTAGGAAAAAAAGTGAAGAAATATACATCTACCTATCATTTGTCTCAAGCATGCATTTCAACTGATGGTGAGCATGCTTAAAGTAGGTACAACAATAATTTTCACAATAAACATCAGTTACTGTCATATATATTACTGAAGTGTAACAAAGCACGGGCTCAGGACTTATGGAATGAAGAGAGGGTTGGAGATAAGGCAGAACAGGCTCTATATGGACAAGAAAGAATGCCATCGATGCACAGCATGCATATGGAGAGAAGCTCTGTGCCATTAGAGTTAGAAGTCCAGGCTTCTATTTCTGATAGTGTCTCTTAGAAACTCTGTGACTATGGGCAAGTCACTTCCTTCTCTGAGCTTCAGAATCCAAGTTCTTGTGGGCCAGGAACTATCTCACTTTGGTATTTGTCTTTCTAGCACTTAGGGCAGTACCTAGAACACAGAGGACCCTTAATAATTAAATACTTGTTGATTAATAATTAGTGGCACTAAATTAGAACTTAATAAAAGGCTATTAAATTGAATTGGTAAAAGTAGCTGACAAGAGCAGAAAAGAATATTTTAACCATAATGTACATCACTTTAAAATATATATTTATTTAACAACTATTTTGCATGTCTACTGCATGTGAAACACAAAGGTACTACAAAAGGCTAAGGCTTTTGGCCCTCAGAGATCCTGGGACTGATTTCTGCCCTGCCTCGCTCCCTTTGCTATAACCCAGTAAGGCATGCACACGTGCACATGTGCACACACACACATGTGCGCACACACATACACACACGTATATTTTATATATGCTTACGTGTACATAAGTATGATGGAACAAGGTCCTTGAATACAGGAACTGTTTAATCTTTTTCTTCATACCCCAGGGTCTAGCTGAATGCCTGGTACATAGTAGGCAGGCATCTAATCAAATGCTTGTTGATTAACTGAACAGCAGCATGCCACAGAACACACACTGGATTTGGAGTCAGAATTAGACTGCAGTCTTGTCCCAGCACTTACTACTGATTGCCACCTCTTCACCCCATTGTGAGGATCAAACAAGAATGCATTTTGTAAACTGTAAAGATGTTAGGCAAAGCTGTCATTTGGTTAAAAAAAAAAAAAGACTTAAGAAAGGCATGCAAAGCACTTACTACAGATTCAACCAGTTTAACTGGGGAATAAAGTACCCAGTGAAGATATTTATTATAGGACCTTTAAATTACTCTGTAAGCCTTTAAAACACTACAGAATAAATATGAATTTTTATTAGTGTTTGTATAGCTCAATTTTTTTTTTTAATGGGGAGGGATGTGGGAGAGGTGCTAGAACCTTTTCGTTTTAGTTAACTAAACCAGTGTGAAAATATAGACTTGACATTGAGGCATGTTTAGTCATGGCAACTATTAGCAACCAAATGCTACATGAGAATCTGATATTTCTAAATTATAGAACATAATGTAGGATTAGAAGTTCCAGGGGGCAACTTTGCTCCTATGTCGTTTTGCTTATTTTCAGTTGACAATTTGTCCTCCCCATCAACAAGCTTCATGATTTATTCAAATGAATATAAGAAATGGGCCTTATGTAACAAATCTACTTAAGGATAGAATAGGACCAAAATACCAACCAAATCATTTTTCTAAAAGTTACTATTCCCATGATTGCATTTTTCAGCCTTTGCTGCAAATAAAGTAGGACATAATTTCTGTTTTCATCTTCCCCACCCCCATTCCTTTGGACTACAAACCAAAAGACTTGTGTTCTCCTACTGGCTCCACCATCAACTTAGTGCCCTCTCGGCCTCAATTTCCTTATCTGTAAAAATGAGGACTAGATGCTTTCTTAAAGTCTCTCCCAGTTCTACCATTCTATGACTGAGGCCATTTCTATTCAGTATGATTTTTTTTCCTACAGAACTCTATTAAAGTAATGAGTACAGTTTAATAATGAATTTCCAAAAATTTCATTTAAAAATAAAAGTTAAAGTGATCTAACCATTAATTTTACTGAATTTATATAATTTAAGATATTAAGCTAATACAGTAAAGTCTCAGTCAAAATGCTACAGGAATGAGATGTTCTGGTTATTGAAGGTTAGACAGAAAGTTTCCATGCTGAAAATCTTTTTAAAATGTGTTAGTCACATTCATGCCTTAGGAGAAAATACTTAAGACCACAGAACATTGGAGATCTAGTCCACATCCTCATTTTGGGATGAGAAACATGGGGCCCAGAGAAATTAGGACATTCACCCACCTATATGGTATCCTATTACGTGTTAATAACAATACTGGGAGAAGTCATCCCCTAACTCACTACTCAATGGTCATTCCACTATATTAGGTATCCCTGTGGAACTCTAATGTCTCATGTATTACTAATGTATTATTTCTGGTGTATTTAAGGATCTTGTAGGATTTCAAGGTCATCATTCTAAACCAGTGGTTTTTAAAGATATTTACCTCATGACAAAGATACACACACACACACACACACACACACACATAAAATATGTATGTGTATGTGTGTGTGTGTGTGTGTGTATTTGCTGTGAGGCACTGTGGCACATTAAATGTTTTAAGCTGGCAACAAAGGATGCCAGTCAATTGGGTATCACTACCTGGGCTTTGGGAGTCCTCTGCCTTTCTCCTTTCTTACCCTCGTCAACCTCTTCTTGACTTTCCCAGGACTAAAAATGCAGGCAGTGGCTTGGTGCTTCTCCACACAAGCTGGAAAGAGCAGGCAACAAACCGCAGCTGGGTGGGACTAAAGTTGAGGACTGGGGATTATGAAAGCTGCACGATGTGACAGGAGCAGTTGCACAAAAAGGAGAATCTGTGGCATGTTCTTTGATGATTACTATTCTACTTACAATGCTCATTGTACCTTATGTAGTTATAGAAAGCATAAGAAATTACGATGTGTTTATTCAGGCTATGAATCCTATTCACTTTATAATAAATAGGTAGTCATTCTGTAATCTCTAAAAGTAGACTAAGAACTCCACTTGGGAGTTCTGGTTAATTGAATTTGTACTATGTTGGCAAATGGTGCTTCTATTATGAAATCAGGAGTGCCTGCCTGAGTGCTCTGAGACTGTCAGCATCCTAAACATTTAAGTTGTGGAGTATGAGAGAACCTTGGGTATTATCTAGCCCTACGACCTCACTTTATGGAGAGGGAAACTGGGATCCACAGAGAGGAAGTGATTTGCCTGAACAAGAATCCAGGTTTCTCAATTTGGATAAATGCTGTATTTGTTCACATTTAGATGAAAATCAATGATATAAAAATATGTATAAATCTGATAAAACAAATCTGATAAAACATTAGAAAATTTAATGACACAACCTTGCATTTATTGTGCAGAAAAATAACCCTTTACTCTGCAGTGATATAAATTATTTTTTAAAAATTTAAGAATTAAAAAAACTAGTTGCATGGAACTTAGCCATCTAAGCAAAAAAAATGTTTTTATAAAACCCAACAGTCACAAAACAAGAAATCCTGGACAAAACAAGTATCATCTGAATATTAAAGCAGTTCTGATTACAACACTCCTCTCAATTCAATATGTTTGTTAAGGGACTATTACACTGAAGGCCCCTTTGGTTATTGGTTTTGGGACAGACACAAAAACTAAAAAGAACAAACCTTGCTCTTGAGCTTATACTGTAATGGGAGAGGGAGAGATGTGTGTGTGTGTGTATACAACTATGATGCATAGTATAGTAATTGGGGAAGAAGAGAGCTCTGATAAAAGTGCTTAAGGTAAATCTACTTTCAGGCTGGGCTGACGTGGAATGATTTCATGAAGGAGGTTGAGAGCTATAACTCTCAATGTTCCCCATGCCCCAGCCACAGAATAAAGCTCAAACTAATCAGCCAAACTAATCATAGTCCTATCTGCCATGGTCCCAACTTACCTTCCCCAACTCATTCCACTATTATTATTAGTGATTATAGTACTTTATACCTCTCTTATGACCCTAATCACATTTACCTTATGGTGCTTTAATTTGTGAATATGCTTTAATTTGTGAACATGATTTATTCCTGCCTTCCAGATTTTAAGTTTCTGAAGGTAAGCGCTATATTTTGCTTATCTTGTGTTCTCCATGTCACCTAGTAAACTAAACTGAATACAGAAGGCTGAATTCTCCAAAATGGCAAATAAATGAGCAATTTTAGAAGCTGTACTAAGTTATGTAGTTTATCATACTAAAATCAAAGTTTATGGATGCTTGTCAAAGGGGCAATGTAGATATTTACTGACTGATCAGTGAGCTGTAGGATCCTTCCCCTTGCAACTGTATCTAAAGCTAATCAAGGCCATACATAATAATAATGTAGGACTTTAACTTTTACAAAGTGCTTTCTTGACATTACCCTAGTAAAACAGGTTGGGATAGATATTATCCCCATTTTACAGAAGAGGAAACTGAAATTCAATAAAGTGACTTGCTTACATTCATATAGCCACCAAGTGGCAGAGCTGGGACTCAAATCCAAAATCTCCTGATTCCAGGACCAGTGCTATTCCCACTTTCCCACTTTGCTTTTCACACACCTAATCTAATCCTGATCGATACAGGACCTGTTCAGATTCAGTCTATTGTCAGAAGTCTGCATTCGCAAATGAAACAAAGTGAGATAATTACTTAAATGTTTGCTTAAATTCTCCAATTTTACCAGAGATAGTGATAAACTAGTTAGCAACACTGGAAGGCTATTCAAATACATAGTTTTGTAACTTATAACTTCAGTACCACCCAAATCTTACCTCTGGACAGAAAATAAAGTGAACATGAAAGTTGCCAGCCCCCTTTTACAAACTTAATCTGTATAGATGTTCTCTTCACTAATATAGGCTGCAGCTGCTTCTATTCCTTCCTTAGTTCTGTAAATGACTATTGCTAAGAACATTCTTCACCCTATGGTTAACTCTGATTAGCCTCTTCACACTTAGCTAGGCAGGTCTTTAGACTATCATTGCTGGTTTGTTAATCAAGATGTCTATAAATGCTAAAAGTAGGTGCAAAGAACATAGTCAGTTCTCATTTCATGAAGTCTTTTCAAACAATTTCCAGACAGTATTGGCTTAGAGATTTCCAAAGCAGTTTTGTTCATGTTTGATCTTTTGCTTAGTGCAGTCCTACCAGAGTGATCCTATGTTTTCAAAGACTATAGCAATGGAATTCAGGTCCTAAATTAGGAAAACTTTTGAGTATTAAGACTAGTTGTGAACTGCATCGGCTGAGGAACAGCTATTCCTAGAGTCTCCTCATGAGTCTGGCTGTAGGATGATGAGTCTTTTGGCCATAGCAGTTCTTAAAAAATCCAGTAATAAGATATATTAATCACTATCTGGGGAATGGGGGTACCAGTGGGGAGATCCAAAACAATGAAATTACAGATCCTTAACTTACTAAATTTCTCTTATGACAGTTAAGTGCTATTGGAGGAATTGGGTAGAGGGATGGATGTTCAAAAACACTTTACAGGCAACAAGCTAGCTATTCTAGACTCAACATGCCAACCAAAAACATTGTTGTCAGTAACTGAAATGGTGGAAAGAAAAGAATAAGATGTGGGAACTTCAATATCAGAGCTTGAATTTATCAGGGAACCAGACTTACAGGACTGTACCATGTATAGTAATTATGGACTGGGTTATGTATCTGAGAACACCTTTCTGGTCTAAGATCTCCCTGGAAGAGAGTAAGATATGGGCCACAATAGAAACTGGGTCACTTACTTGGCTTGCTGAATTCACTACTGCTTAAGAGTACAGTGCTACAGATGTGAGCTTCTCAAATATATAGTTTCTGATAAATGCTACAGTTTCAGACCACAAGGAAAAAGAAACATGTCACCCCCTGAGAATGGGACAAATTTGGATTGTGCCACTTTTCCAAAAAAACCTGGGACTTGAGACAAAAATAGATGAGAGATTACAACGCTAAGTTTGGGCCCGGTGTTATTAGAAATTTTATGAAACTGAATAATGAAAGTAAAGTGGGCATTTCATTTCCATGAAAGGTTATTCTCTCCATGCTAGCCTTCCCTTACCTCAGTGGTACCTCTGATGGTGACTTGTGTGAGTGTAGGCCTGGAACTCCTGCATTGAAGCATTCAGGGATGGAGGTCCCAGGGCGCTGCCCAGTTCAATTATGTCTGTTGAGAGTGAGTGGATAACATTTCATAGCAAGATAACAGAAATAACTGTCTACAGCTTATTAAAACCATGAAAATGGGCATTCTCTCCTTACCTAACTATATATTAGTTTCTAAAATGGAAATGTTTCCTAGATTTTTCTAGGAAGTGGCGACTTCTAATACAGTGTTTTTCTTGAAAAAGATGTCAAGCAAATTTAGTTCAAGGCTATGGAAGGAAATCCTCATAGGAAAAGAGCTCCTGCAGAGTTTAAAAAAAAAACAAAAACAAAAACATAAAAATGTCTCCATTTCCGCTTTTGCTTGGCTGAAGAGAACCCAACTATTCATGTCTAGATTTGTGAAATCAAATTTCAACAAAATCTATTTTTACTGAACTTAGAATGCAATGACAGTTCAGTCTATAATCATAAAAATTAAACTTTATGTTAACAGTTGAAATCTTTTTAAATCAAAAGAGCTTTCTTTTGATTTTGCACTGATAAAGGGCACAGAAAATTATTTTTTGATGTAGTTTAAGGTTTTTTTTTTTTTTAGTAAATCTATTAAAAATTCTGAATCAGAAAGTAGGTGATGTTAACAATGCTTGTGGCTTTTTTTTTTCTTCTATCGAACTGATAAGGGCTTTGATTTTACCCAGTGTGGGAAAAAAATAAGGTGCAAAAATAAGGTTTTTGGTTTACTCAGATTTTCAAGCTTAGGTAAAAAATGACTTGAAAATTATCTACATTTATAATTCATTCACACATTTTATTTAATGTCATAACACAGTGGACAACCCCAAAGTATTTTGCATTTATCAAGTATTTAGTGAGGTTCTTTAGCTGTAATAAAGACAGTTGAACAGCTAAAAAACAAAGCTGTGTGAAAGAGAAACATGATTTTTTTTGAAAACTAAAAATAACAATACTGATATTATTAAAGCTTCATTAGTTATTGCAACAATTAAGAACTTAATTTACCAATATTCTATGTTAGAAAGGCTCACTATGAAATTTATTCAAGTTTTGAAGAAATTAGATGAAAATGTAAAAAAAAGGAAATACATCTGATTTTACTTTTGATTTTCACTAAAAGTAAATAGTAATACAGGTTTTGTACAGTATCACCGTTAGCAGTCTTGAATAAACCCAAGAATACAGACTTTTCTTTAAAAAAACAAGAAAAATCTTGTATATTAGATTCACATTCAGGTTACGAGATAGCAATTTAGTGATGATCTGGATTTCATGTAATGTGCATTAATGAGTAAAATACCAATTTAATAGATTTCTCTGATGGCAGAGGCATATCACAGTTTTAAAATCGATAACCAAGTTTCAAAGGTCATAGTTGAATATGGGGGAAATTCTATAACTGATGAGAGCCAGTGAGGTTACTAACCCTCAATCATCCTTTATTATACCACAAGGTCATACTGTATTTTTGGCTTTGTTAACTGAAGCAATATTTTGCTTTGCTTTGCAATTCATTTTGCTCTGTCACAAATGATCATTATTAACCCTGATTTAGCCTGATAACGAAGGATGTGAGGAAGGCATTGGCTTTCTTTCCCCTCTCCCAATTATGTACACAAGACTGCAGAAGCTTCAATTTTTACCTTTGTCACCCAGATCATATGACAAAGATTCGTTTTAATTATATTATGCCTAAGGTTTACACAGAAAAATCTCATGTTGGGAAATAAAAATGACAACTGGGAATCTGAAACATCAACACTGAAGATATATCATCTGTCAGAGAGAAATGCCCCTTTATAAAAGAAACAGGCAAACTTCTCTTTTCCATTCACCAACACTTACACCATGAGGTACATGGATATGGTTTGTTTAAGCACTCTGAGCAAAAAACGATATTACACTAAAACAAGATAGATACTGTACCACATGCATCTTGAATCTGAAAACTTTGTTGTTAAAAGGTTGCTAAGTTCTCCCCTGGACAATCAAACTATCAAGTTTCATTTACAGAGTTCTGAAAGAAAGTTTATTTATGCAGGTTGCCAGCCTGCCTTAATTAGCCCTTTGGCATTTTTCTAAACGATACCTAATGCTTGCCCCAACACGGAAACCAAGCCTAATTTTCTTCAAAGTCAAAAGGTTACAGGAAGTTGTGAGCAGAAGAAAACAACTTCAAATAAATAAATACAAATAAATATACTCAATTTGAGAGCAAACTTTTAAGATCTATTACATGATGCAAGGAGTCAAGTGAGTGAACTAGTTATTCATCTAGGGCATTTTCTGCTAGACAACAGAAAATGAATTTCAAACACTTTTCAAGTATGAATTGTAGGTACATGTGTGTGTCAGTATATGTCAGTGTATCCCCCACAGATATATGAAATATAAGTTCTGGGATTCACCCTCCCCTTATTTATCAAAGGTATTTGAGTTCTATTCTAAGGTGAAAAGTATGGGAAATCTTTGCTATAGCTTCCTCCTGTTTTATAGAGTCTTCCTGTCAATCTTTTTTCAGCATTCTCTTAGTCCCAGCCAAAAGCTTCAAGGGGCGGTATTTATATAACATTTCTCTCCTTCAAAAAGTGTAAGTTCTAACTTATATACAAAACAGTGAAAGAAAATGAAAATACTTTCCCAAAAGTTGTAGTAAAATTGCAATCAAAAGCTACTTGTTTTAAAATACTATTTTGCTATTCCTTCCAATGGTTTTTGCTACTCCTTCCGATTCCTTTTGGTTTTGCTTTCAAAACAAACTGAGGGAGTTAAGATGATGGAGACTTTTAACTTCCCTATTTCACGTCATGATAATTAAAGAAGATAGTTTAAGTTTTAACTTCACATAATACATCCCAACCCCCAAGAATCAAAATCTTGCCCATTTGCATGGTAAAAATCAGTATCAAACTGGACTATGGAAATAGTGACTCAAAAAAAAATGAGATGAGGGAAATGCCAAATTAACTCAAAATTAACACTACTATTGGTCAGAGACTGTTCAAAGCTCTAAAAAGCATTTCTTGTTTTCTTAAACTGTACATAAGGTTAACACTCTTGTCAAGCTGGAAACAAGCCACACCCTATCCTTAATTACATTTAGTATTTCATTTAATTATCTGTTTGTTACTTCTTTATATTTATACTCTAATCAGAAAAAAAGCCAATTGAACATGCTGTTCAATTGATTTTCTTCCTCTTTGTCAACTCCTGAGTTTTCATTTCGAAATTTCTATCAAAAGAGATGCTCCAGCCCACTAATAGAGCAGTGAGCCTTTGGGAAAATATCCAGTAATAGGGAAGCTCAAGGTTTAAAAAAACTAATAAAAAATTCACAAAAAGTCTGAAATTGGCTGATCTAAGAGATGTACAACATTCTGTCTCCTAAGTTTTAGGATACTCTTACTAGTGTTTTTGCAAACACTTTGAAAACGGTGAAAAACCCACCCATCCCACTCTTCTGGGCAATCTGTAGAGCCACATGAGTTCTGGTCCAAAAGAATACCTTGTATTCTGTCCTCCTGATTAGAGAAGTGTTTTGATGGCTGTCAAAAAAAGGGGGGGCAATAAGTCAGAGGGAAAGGTGAGGACCACTTTGTGATGTTATCTGCTACATCGGCTTTTCTTCATACCCCCAGCGCTTAGCACAGTGACTGGTACATAGTGCTTGAATAAATACTTGCTGAGTGACCCATTAAGAACCTATACTTCTGAGTTAGTTGGATCTAAGCATAGTACAGCCCAATCTATTACTATCCCTAATCCAGTTCGCTAAAGTAAAAAGAAAGCACAAACAAGGGAGAGAGGGATGGAGAATTAAAATAGCAAAGTATACACAGGATATTTAAATGTAAGGATAGATTTACTGGCAAAAAGGAAAGAAAACTACAATGTAAAACCCAGCCCCAAATCCAACCACTCCCATGTTTTTTATGTATTTGAAAATTCTTATTAAACTGAAAATTCAAGTGCTTATTCTTAGCCTGTTCCTTCTGCTATATATTCTTGACAAAAGCCCTCTTGTCCCTGCTCTCATGACCTCATTCCCAAGCAGTAAAAATCCTGTTTATTTGCCAATGAAAGTCTTAGTTTTGTTGCAGGGAAATGGGAAAAAAAGAGTTTAAATGTCAATCTACTTGAAGGTGTAATCTAGCCAAATTATGCTAATAATACACTATCAGTGTGCAATAACATTAGAATTTTAAAGACCAGGGTAACTTCAGTATGAATATGACTTACCTGTGATTAACCACTTTCAAAAGTGGATAAATACCCAATCTTGAATTTTGAAACTGCATACTCAATGTCTCAGAAGCATTTGAAACAGGATTTCTAAAAATGTCTGTGCACAAAACTGTACACATGATGTTAGTTATTAATTTACTTTTCTAACAACCAAATTTAGACTGACTTAAAGTTGAAAAGATCTGCTAAAATGTCTGTTTTTAGTTACCTATGGGGTCAGTTAACATTTAGGAACAAAGGACTATACTTTATAAGATAGGGCACTAATATCTCTGTCTTTCCAGGAACAAATATTCTGGGATGTGTAACAAAACGAAATACAATCGAAAAGTGCTTTGCAGCTTTAATACAAAAGAATGATTTTTACTGTTTTTATTTTTATTACATTTTAATTTCTATTACAAAGTAATAGAAACAGACTTTTCATTAAGGAGTTTCATAAATATAAAGTTAATGGATCCAGCCATTATATGTGCAGAAAACTAGGCCTGGATGAAACATGATTCCAGCAAATTCTTTGAGAGTTGCAGGCAGCACCAGTGTAATGGCTATAACACATCATTTCAGTTATCCTTTAACTGAATCATTCATCAAGAGATACAAATATTAGATTTTTACTTATTATAATTTCATTTACTATTTTAACTTTGGACTAATACACATTCTGATTATCTGGAGATTTAATGAAGTAGACCATAATATAACCACAAACCTTAATGCCATGAATAAAAATTATCAAGCAGGAAGTTGTCATTTTGATAAAATACAATTAAAAAAAATCAATTTTACCATTCTGAATATTGGAAGAGAAGTACTTTAAATAAGTGACAAGGTACATTATGAATTACAACCAAATACTATAAATTAAAGCAACACTTGGATCCATTTGACTTGAACATCTGAATTTTTATGAGAAAATTCCACCCAGCAACTCTCCCCTCCTTGATACCCATCAATCAATTATATGAGCTCCAAAGCAGTAGCTCTCTGTTTATTTAGAAACAATATAAAAATGAGAGTCCTGAGAGCTAAACTATTCACCAGTGTATTAACACTCATCTGGGTATCATAAAATATAATAATTTAAAACAAAAAACTCCAAGACATAAATGACCTCAAATTCTGCCTTTTTCCTTTGGGTGTAAAAGCAAAATCCAAACAAATTCAAAGTCAGTACTTTTAAGCCTTTGGGAGTTTATTACTTTTATAAAAACAAAGCTAAGAAGCTTGCCTGAGACCTCTAAGTCTAAGCTGGAGTTTCACCAAAAATACTTGGTTCTCCCTTTTCCCTCAGTTCCATTCCCACCCCCCCACCCCCCACCCGCCAAAAGAGCAGAGTATTGGGTACAAATTATCTTGGCTTATATATGACAAAGAGGCACTTTTGATGACTGCCAGACTTCTTGAGTCTATGATTTCTTTCACCTTACAGGCTCTTAAGTAGTACAGGATAAATACTTAGACCACCACCCTATTCAGAATCTCAAGCAAAGTGCTACAAACCGCTTCTTTGAAAAGATGTTTATTAAACAACTTTAATTCTGTCATAAAATGACTAAGATGGGTTTTAAAAATTAAGGCTCTTGTCTTTGGATGGATTGCCATAACAATGTAAAAAGAATATCAACACTGCTCAATGCTTTGTTCCTAAAGTTAAATTTTAGATAGATTCATAAACCACATTCAAGATCAAGTTGAAAAAAATTTGACTATAAATGACAATTAGTGACTTTGAAATGAACACACATTCTCTCATTAAGTGCATAATAGCCGAGTCAGTGAGTTTAAGCAAAACTACTTCAGTCAAAGCAGAAACTTTCAATTTAGCATTTTAAAATCACTGTTTTTCCACATTGCCGTGATTTTCCTAAAATCAAGAGTCTAATATAGGAACGCTAACTGATCCTTAGGGCTCTATGTACTCCCAACAGGATAACTGTCTTGGCTGGTAATTTGTATATATTTTCCTTTTTTAATGTACTATGGCGAGATGTCAAATGATTCGGAATTACATGGCATGCAGTATCCAAAATTATGGCTCTGATGCATTTAGCTTTACATTAAGCATAAAGAAGTGTCATTCAACATTCATTTTATACCCCATCCCTCCCACAAGGGGGAAAAAAATCACTACCTATTCAAGTTCTAGATCTTGATGCAGCATTAAGGATTAAAACTTACCACTTTACCAGGCCTTGCCCATGTGCAAATAAATCCCTCCTGACAAGCAGTGACTATACAGTCTTCAAGAAAAATTAACACAGTCAGTCTTTCATGTGCTATCTTTTTACAGATAAGAGGCTCTAATAAGGGAACGTCTTCCATTCGGGGGCACAGAGAAGTTCCCAAAGTTTTAGCTGGGTCCGTTTTGGTTTTAGTAACTAGGTTCAGTTTGTCACTACTCTTGCTAGATATATGTCCCATACTATGATTTCGCTTGTGATCTTTGTCATGGTGTCTTTCTTTCCGGTCATGTAGTGAGAGAGTTGCAAATTTGCTGACACCAGAGGCAATGGCACCGTCCAGGACGCTGCTTTTACTGCCGGCATTCGAGACTGCAGAGTGTGGAAGGCTGTTGGACCGTGGAAGAGGCGGGGGCACAGAATTTCCAGGCATTGTGATGCTGTTTCCATTGCTTCCTGGGTTGGTTCCACCACTTCCTGCAGGTGGACTTGTGGCATTCATGACATTTGTATGTGTCCTTGCTCTGGAGAGGGGTTGGTGGGGAAAAAGAATGTCTTCTGTAAGGTCCCATAAACAGAGTTGTGTATCTTGGCCTACCGAGCCAAACCTATATGTAACGCTTACTGGGCGACTATCTGTAGAGTTCCTTTTTGATAACCTAGATTGCGTACTATTTGCTCGATCTCTGCCAAAATGAAGGAGGTCTTGGAAATCCTCATCACTGCCACTAAATTCCATTGGGTCACTTTCTTCTACACTAGTGGTATATGGGTCAAATGCTACAACACTGACCCATGATTTATGTCCATGGCCTCTTGCTATTACTCGACAATCCACAAAAGACCAAACTGTCACCAAGTCATCCTCTCCACCAGTTACAATATATTTCCCATCTGGGCTCCAACAAACACATAGTAGTCCTCCAAAGTAGCTTTTCATTGTACCGTGCAACTCCACTGAATCAAAGTTAAATACCCGGAGAAAGCCATCTTGGCTCACACATGCTAAGAACTTCCCATCGGGGGAAAAAGCAAACTCATTCAGGGCACCTTCTCCCACTGTCCACTTAAGGAGAGGGTTTCTTGTGGACTTACTCTTGCAAGTGTGGACTGCAAAGCTTTCTCCTTGCTTAAGTAGCTGGTAGTGTGGAGCTGTGGTACCACAAGTGTGTTCCACATTATATAAGTACATATTACCACTGGAATGAGCTACTAGGAAAAGGCTTTCCGAGCCTGGCACCCATTTTACACAGGTTACTCTGGATTTGTCTATTAGTCTCTGTGAAAATAAAGCAGAAAACAAATGGCTGTCAAAATGAGGAAATTTTACATTTCAAAACTTTCTGTTAAGAAAATGCATTTAAGCTGCTCTGACATTATCGATGTTCTGAATTACATGAGACTTGGGTTTTCCTCTTCAAGTTAGGAAAACATTTTCTTTAGGTTAAGATTCTTCATTTAGACATTATTCTACTTTGTACCAACCAGTACATATAAAATTGAACAATGTAATGACATCTTTACTCACTTGTCTCATGTGACAGGGAGCCATTGTTCAAACCTGTCATCAAAAACATGAAAAATGATGTAGAAGATTCATTACTAAACTATGGGATTTATCCCGTTCTTTGACATTGTAACCACTAAAAATGTTTTTGTCTCTTTTGTGCCACTAATTCTTAAAATTATTAAATCTTAAGGTATCATTTAAAAATTATCAATTTCTCAAACCTTTTCCTGGGTTATTACCCAGTCCTCAAACATACTGCTTTATCACAATGGTCAACTGTTTCGATCAGGTCTCCAGCAATTGCCAAGTCACACATTCTCATGATTGTTTGGAATTTCACAAATGCCATCTCAGCAATCTTGTGTTCTTGGAGTAAAGTTAGCACTGTGATCTCTGATCTTTTGATCATTTCAAATAAATGTCTGTCTATACTTTTATTGAGATCAAGAGGTAACTTGTTCCATAGTTTTAAGAAATTAAAACTAATTAGTGGGCTATAATGCCAGCTGCTAATAACAATAATCTGGTAAGGCAGATTTCTAAACTTATCATTCATTGTGTAACTGCAGGAAATCTCAGAAGAACTGCAATCTATATGGCAGGTTGTCTACCAGTCATATACCTAGGTTTGGAGTTACAAAACAATTTCAAAATTGGGTTTGAACTACAATGTTCAAACATTCAATTTAAAATATGGAAACTAGAATACAACCTAGGCACTAATAAAAATGACTCACAGAATGTCAAAAACTGGAAAAAACTTTAAGCATAATAGTCCAACCCTTTCATCTTACAAATGAGGAAATTGAGGCAATTAAGCATGACTTTGAAATGCATGGCTAAAGATACTGCTACCTCAATACCTGTGATACTCTGAGGATAGAAATTTAAAATTACATCTGAAAACAACACAATGGGATTCACATCATTCATTTTTCAAGTGATCAAGAAAAATAAGAATAAATAAGAATAAGAAATAAGAAAAGTAAATGTTACGTAATCTAGAACTTCTGTTGGAATTTTTAGACTTAATTATCTAGGACAAAGTTCAACTGGTCTTTACTACACTGAAATCTTTTAGTAGAACACATTTTTAAAAGACTTAAAAAGCCAAGGGCCTTCTGCTTCCTTTTTTCACTATCCATTATAATTATTTTTGACATGTAGGCTACCGTCCCTCAACACAAATTCATACAATAAACATGAAGTGATTAGCTTAATCTAAGAAAATGTGAATTTTTCAATGACAAAGATCATTGACACTGGGTGGGGCCTTGCTGTAATATTTGGTAGTGTCAATTTTTACAGTAAATAACAACAATGCCAAAATAAACATAAAACATATAAACAGGCAGGCTCAGTAGCAGTCACTGGGGGAAAAATCAATATAGATAGGCAAAAATGGCTGAAAGGTTTTCACCACAATTCTAAAAGTTTTGATTTTTCCTTTAGGAAATGATTACTTCAAAGTTCCTGGGGGGCAGGGGGCAGTACCTGCCATTTTAACCAATATTAAAAATTATTTCAGGTGATTATTATGGACATTTTTACTTTTACTGGAGCAACAATAAAAATAGCAGCAAAAAATTATAATGAATTTGTTCCCAAAAGCCCTATTATATAATTAGTTCATCTCTAAACCAAAGCCCTCCCACAGGAGTAAGGCATAGCAAGTCAGAGCCTGCTCAAAGTACCAGATGCTAACAGCCCTCAGGAATGCCACTGCTGGGGGAAGGAGATGGCTGTATCAGACGGTCTTGAGAGACTTGAGATTCATATGTACCTACGACCAGAACTCACCTCATTCTAACTCTTTATACCCTTCGCTATTATGACTTCCATTACCTATCCTTATTCTTCCAAACAACTCTGGCTCTACCTTGTCCTTCTCTATACCTAGACTTTAATGGCCAATTACTCCAAGAATAACTTTTCTCTCTTCTCTGACCCACTTACCCCCAAACCTTCACTATTCCCAACCTCTGAATCCTCATCCCTAGAGGACCCTGACCACCTACTCTCTCCATTCTTGTTCTAAGGCTATTGAATATCAATGGAGGAAGAAAAAAAATCCCAAAACCCGACTTTACTCACCACAAAAACGTTATACAAGCTCAATTTGGTCCTAACCATTTCCCAATAATCCTCCTAGTCTATCCTTATTTTTTTAATCTCATTCCCTATACCCGTTCCAAATTTCTCTCCTCTTGTCCTTTCCCTCCATTTACAGTATATCATTTAATCTCCTACTTCATTGAGCTTACTGAGCCCATATGACAGCACTTTCTCCTTCATTCTTTAGAAACTTCCAAAAATTACTGCCCACCCCTCCTGTTTCCCCATTCCCTCTTTTTTCAAACTTCATTGTAGCAGTAATCATTACTCCTCCCCACATCCAGTCCCCACTTTATTATCAGTTTCCATTCTTCACTAGCTCCTTTTTTATCTACTTGTAAACATTCTTAGGTCTTCTGGGTTGGTTTTTTTTTTTTAAGAAAGCAATCCTTTTACCTTTCTAACTCACAGAACTGCTATCCTCTCTTTTTCTTCACAACTGAACTTCGTGAAGTAACTGTCCATAGCTGATGACTCCATTTCCCGACTACATTCTGTCTCTTTAATCTCTTAAAGTCTGGTTACCTGGCCTCCACTCTACTGAAACCATTCTCTCTCTCAAAGATCTGATTACCAAATCCAACAGGTCACTCTTCAGTCCTTATTTGATTTGATCTCTCTAGAGCTCCAGACATAAAAGTCCATTCTTACCTACTGGATATTTTTCATTCCCTGGTATTAGAAATACCATATTCTCTTGGTTCTCCTAATTCTCTTATTATTCCTCCTCTGGTAGGAGGAGGATAAGTAGTACAATGGACAAATCACTGGACTTAGAATCAGGAAGGCCTGGGTTAAAATCTAGCCTCAGACTCTTACTACTTACTGTGTGACCCTGGGGCAAGTCACTTAACTATCTGCCTTAGATTCCTCATCTGTAAAATGGGAATAACAGCACCTACCTCTCAGAGTTGAGATATTTGTAAAGTGCTTTGTAAACCTTAAAGCACTATATAAATGCTAGCTATTGTAATGATGATAATGATGAGGATGATATTGTTCTTCTCAAATATCTTCTGAGGTTCCCTATTGCCTGACATCTAAGACCCTCTAAAATTTTGTCTCACCTCAGCTTTATATTATTAATCTCTCTGTATATTATTACACATTTGAGACAAACTGTACCCTTTCTGTTTCAACCTTCAGGGTCTTGTTCACATTTATATTGGAAATTTTCTCCCTCTCCCCATAACCACTGAATTCCTACACAGCTTTTACAACTCAAATCAAATGCTACTTCATCTAAAAATCCTCCCTGCAGAATACATTTGTATCTCTACTATTTACCTTCTCTTAGGTTCTCAAAGTTGAAGTTATATTTGAAACTTACCTTTCTCCTAGCTGTGGTGCACATTGCTAGGCAACATTTTCTTCCTAGGACCTCACATGGGACCCTGTTCCCCCACTTCTTTTCCTAATGATTTTGTAATCTAATTAGCTGTGTTATATACCCTAACTAGATTAAACTGAAATCTCCTTGAGGGTGGAGACCATATCTTCTCTATACTTGTGTTACCCAATGTCTACCGTAGTACAAAGTAGATGCTTAATAAATGTTTTATAAACTGAAATGCGCTAGGGGTAGTTAAGGATCACAATTTTGTAAGGAGAAGAACCAAAAGGTCAGTAATTTACTAAAGGTATAAAATTCAATTTAATTTCATGAAAGGAGGGTGAAAAGGAAAGGCAAGGAAATTAGCATTTACATAGCATTTACACACTTACTATGTGCCAGGCATAAGTGCTTTTTACAAATATTTATATGATTTATATTTTTACAAATATTTATATGATCCTCACAACAACCCTATGAGGTAGGTGCAATTATTGTCTATTCCCATTTTACAGTTGAAGAAACTGAGGCAAACAGAGATTAAGGAACTTGCCCAGGGTCATACAACCAGTAAGTGTCTCAGGTCTTCCTGATTCCAAGCCCAGTACTCTACCCACTGTAGATGCTGGGAATACAAAGACCTCTGGCTTAAAGGAGTTTATATTCTATGAGGACAGCACATGCAAAGAAAAGTATATAAAACAAGGTAACTTGAGAAGGAAAAGTATCCTGTCAATGAGGGAAGAGAAAGGGAAAATCAGGCAAGTGCTGAAGATAGGTGGCATCTGGGCTGAGATATAAAAGAAAGAATAATTCTGAAAGGCAGAGGTGAAAGGTCGTGTATCCCAGGCATGGAAGGAAAAGCTAGTGTGAATATATTTAACTGGGAGAAGGAATGCAGAGATGCTAGAACATCAGAGTTCATAAAGGATAAGAATACAAAAAGGCTGGACAGGTAGGTAGAAATCAGATTATCAAAAGTCTTCAGTGTCAAGTTAAGGAAATCTATACTTGATCCTATCAGCAATAGGAAGCCTCTCAAAGTTTTTGAGCAAGAAAGTGAAATAAATCAGACTTGTGCCTTAGAAAGACTATTGTGGCAACTATGCAGAAGATGGATTGGAGAGGAAAAGAGACTAGAGACAGGGAGACCAATTAGGAAGCTACCATAATATTCTAGGAGAGATATTGAAAGCTTAAGTTAGAATGATTTCTGTATGAGTGGAGAGAAGAGGAGATATTTAAATCTGTTTTTTCCCAATAGATCACAATATTATTCAATAATTTTTTAATTATTAATTTACATGCTAATGTGGCAGTTTTCTCTTTCCTCTGCTAATTTTTATATTATAAATCTAAGCTTAGAAATATATTAGAATTTTTTTGTGGGTAGAGGAAGTTTATCAGGAAATGATATGTATAAAACACAAAAAAGCTTCAGTAAAAACTTTTTAAAAATGTTACCACAAAATAATATAGTAACTATGAGAGCATACAGTAACTATATATTAATAATTAAAATTATATTTAAGTTACTACAAAATATTATAGTTACCAAGTAAGTTGCTTGAGAGTTTAGCAATTGTATTGGTTTTTTTGCTAATTACAGCTTTTACCTCAGAATAAACAGTTATAAACGGCTAAATATTTAGCCCCTTAAAAAAGAATTATAAAAGTATGACTACATACCACAAATTACTGCCCCTCAAAGGTAATCTTTTTAAGGAATTATATCCCACAGTGTACCTATAAAGTGTTTACAAACTGTATACGAAAACATTCTTTACATTACATTAGTCACTTTCAAGGATATAATACATAGTAATACTTGGGCAGACTGTTACTTCCTTTTTCAGAGATAGAAATCTAAATTCCATTACAGAAAGAATGAAGTGTGCTGTCAAAATAAGCTGAATAGACATTTTTCCAGAGATTGATGATTTAATAAAATATAGATAGAAACTAGGTATTTTTTTGAATTGTATCTGTGATTTCATTAGTATAGGGAAATTATAGTGAAGAAACTCCCTCTACTAATTTAGATCACTGAGAGAAATTAAGTGACTTGCCTAGGATCATAGAACTAGTACACAGCAAATAAGAATTGAATCCAGGTGTTCATATTTTGAAGATAGCTCTCTACTTATTATACCATACTATTTTCTCATGTATTCTCAAAATACCCAAAACAGACTGTAATCATTTCTGTGTCTAGAAAGGATCAAGTACTTACAGTTTCCTCTGGTTTGGCATCAGTTAAAAACTGAAAAATTTGTAATTTAATTATTATGATGACTGATGAGGTGATGATGAATGACAACAACTTAGTTTTGTTTTTTTTTTGAAATGATATTTGTCTGAATCCTGACTCTGGAGGAAAAATTTTTCTTGAAAAGATGAACCTTATTCTAACATCTAAGTTCCTAAATGGATTTCTGAAATTTACACATACACAGGGGAACCTATAAGTTTCCCTGATCAAACTTATTGTGGTTATTTTTGATACTAAGTTTAAAATTGTGCTCGGGTTGGGTTGTTGGTTTTATAACTCAAATTGCAGGCAAATTTCAAAACCTTGTTGCTCAGCCCCTCTAATTGAAAAGAATGGTGTCCGGTCTGATGTTCAACCTAAGGCTGACATCTACTGGCTATAAATGGGGAACATAGGCCGATATAACAACTGGTTTCATTTTAGCTGTCTATAAATTGTTCACCTCTAATCAAAATCCTTCCCTATAAAGACCATATAAATATGCTTGTTCTAAAATGTTAGTGAAAGCTAGGATAGTGGCAAGAGATTTTCATGTAAAGAAAATGAATTACTCTGTTGGTGCTTTAGGATATAAGAGGACCTAGTCAGCCAGAGTAAGTCAGGACTTGGCTTGCCAGATGGGGTCTAACAAGCAACTAGGCAAATGAGAGGTTTAGCCAGGGATGCCTGTTAGGGAAGAGAAAAATAGGCAAGTGCAACAGGTTTAAGTTAGGCAAGGTACAGAGTGATTATGGTAAGAAGGCAGGAGTAGAGCTAATAAATGGGTAAAACTCAAACTAAGTTCTGCTCTTTTAGCAAAGACAGTCCATTTTCTGCCCTGCTTTTTATTTCCTTCTGGGTTAAACAGTTCTAGATTAAAGACTTACTCCCTCACCCCCACATCAATTTCATCTTTTGTATAATGTATATATTTGTTTTAACAACCTTATAGGACTCCTGTGAGGATTAAATAAAGTGTACTTGAAAGTGCTTTGAAAAAATAGAAACTCTTGGTCTTGGGAGTCACAGGACCTGGGTTTGAATAATGGTTCTGCCACTTACTACCCGGGTAGTGATAGTGGGTCAGTCATTTTTCCCCTCTCTGAGGGGACTGGATTAAATGACCTCTAAAGTCTCTTCTAGCTCTAAAAATTTATGATATGAAATTCAAAGGACTTTTCTTAGCATTTTAAAAACACTTTGCTGACTCTCATAACTCACAGTCAAAAAAGCTAAATAAAATATTCCTTAAAGCCCAAAGAATTTTTTTTTATTTTCGAGGGCAACAAATTTTTATCTTAAACTATGCCAGTCAAACTGGCATTAAAGTATAAGGAGAAACCTGGAATTTTGAAAAGTTACATCTTAAGTAGAGGCAGTAAGTGGCAAATACTAGTCTTGGAGGAAGACTTGGAAAATCACCTAATCTCTCAGTATTATAGGCAATTCTCTAAAACTATGAATTGCAGAGAAGGTACAGAACCAAACTCGTAGATGAAGTTTCCTGATCCAGATTTGAACACATCATTTGAAGTCTTCATCCAGAACTTTTCCTACATCAATAAAATCACACATCTACTTCCTATAGGCCCTTTGTGAAATAAAATGTGAACAAATAATAAATTTTTAAAATCACATGCATAAATTGAAAGACAATCTTTAGTAACAACTTCAGGCTAGGCAACGGCCTACTTGATAAGTAGCTATTGATGAATCTTTAAGGATATGTCACTGTACCAAGATTCATTTAATCTCTTTGTCCTTCAAACCTCCCTGCCTCCCATTCCCAACTACACCAATCTTTTATTTTCTGCCTTTCGAAGGGGAACATTGTTTAATCTACTGAGGAAGCAACCACCAGATAAGATTTTTCAAGAAAGTTTTACAGATTCTTTTTATTCACTATTGCCCTTACTGACTCTGCCTTTATGAACACCATCTTTTCCCTCCACCAAATTACAACTCATTCAAAATACAAAACAATATGCTTCAACTCTGAGTTGCTTTCATAACAAAATGATGCCTGTAATGCCTCCAAATTTCACATCTCTACACAATTCCAGAAAGATTAAGAGTTTCTGTATTAATTCAATGTTTTCTTCCCAAGCAATGAAACTTTCTTACTTCTGTTGGGCCAAGTCATTTTACAAAAAACAAATACATCTAAAAATTGTCTTTTATTGCTAATTAATGAACCGCAATACTGCTGAATACCATAAACCACAAAAACTGCAGGAAAAAAAATTTCACGACAGGGCTATTTTTATTTGAATTTTTTTCTAAACAAGAAAGCTATCTTCCCTAAAATACATGCATAAATATGTGCGTGTTTTACTTTTTTGGAACTTGAATATATGTTCTGGGCAATAAAACTTATATGTGTATCAACATATTTTGCATATATTAAATATACAAGGATTTTTTAAAAGCTTAATTAATAATGTGCTTTTCTTCCAAGGAGTTTAAATTATAAACCTACAAAGCAAATATATTATCATTATCTCTCCTTTTATTAATGCAAAGAAGCAATGTGAAACATGATGAAATTAAGTGACTTCCCCAATGCACACCTTACAAGTGTCAGAAAAAGGAAATGAAAACATGAGGTTCCTGGTTTTTCCATCACTCAAGTTTATCTTACTTTTTCATTTGACAGTAAAACTAGGTGAAAAGGGCAAAGAGAAGAAAGTAAAATAGTTAAAATACATATAACTATGCTACTCGATATAACCTTAGAATTGGACAGAAGTTTGAGATCACCTAGTCCAGTCCCTATCTGAGGTACAATCTTTTTCTAATGGAGTAAGGCAAGACTTCATCAAAGTTGTCGATTATTATTAGTAAATCTGGTTGCTACTATATTCATGAACCCTAAGACATGTTTCTGGATTTACTGCACAAGCATATCAAATTCCTTTCAAAATAAAATTTAAAATACTGTCACAATATAAGTAACAGCTCTGTCATGTGATCCAATTAAAATTGCCAGAATTTCTAACCTTGCCAAAAGCAATATGAGAACAGTGTTTCCAGGAGTAGGGCTATTACCTTTGCGCCAGATAATTCCAGTACAAGACACCCAAAAAAGTAAAGCATTTAAAATGGCTTAAGGCAAAAGTCCTCAAATTCTTAAATTATTCTATAAAAATTTCCAACAATATGAATAATTCCAACTTTCAATATTCTAAGCAGTTATTTTCTACAGTAAAATAATTTTGAATATCTGGTTAATGAATATTCACTTTTTTCTCTTGAAGCAAGAGACCTATAAGGGTATACAATAAAAGTAAATAAAATACCACTAATCAAGAAATAGGTAATTTTAACTTTAAAGGTAATTTAAAACAGAAATTTTGGTATTTCTATGGTAAATAAAAATCAGCTCACAGAGTAGTGCAAAGAGGGGCCCCTTGAAAAAAGGGAACAAGTTCTTTAAAGGTGTTCTTAAAAACCAAAGCAGAGAGTACTACTTACTTCCTCATTAAATAATTTGCTAGTTTCTTTTTTGATTGGATCTATGAGTTGGACTTGGCCTGCAGAAAAGCCCACCAGTAGAGAGACACTTTCTGCTGTGGCTGTTAGGTGGTTGAAGTCATGACATGTAGGCTGTGTTCCTTTGTATATCCTTTTATCTATCGGTTTACTCAAGTCAGCAGCCTGGGAAAGACAAAGAAAAATATACAAGGTAAACATAAAATTGAAGTACAACTGTCAAGTTACAGTAGTCAACTAATATTTAAGTTATTGCAAAGCAGTCAGTAGGCCATAGGGTGAAAGACAATTAAAGGAAGGATCCCTGCCTTCTAAAATTCTGCCATATTTTATTTTAATACGTTTTGCTCAGTAATCTTTTACCCCTGCTTATGTTCTCTCTTGCTCTCTTTTTTTTTTTTTTGCTTTTTGGTGAGGCTATTGGGGTTAAGTGACTTTCCCAAGGTCACACAGCTAGTAAGTGTTAAAGTATCTGAGGCTGGATTTGAACTCAGATCCTCCTGACTTAATGGCTGGTGCTCTATCCACTGCGCCACCTAGCTGCCTTCTATGTTCTCTTTTTTTAAAAACTACATCTTTTAACTGGGGCATCACCTGCATAAAGTTTCAACTTTAAAAATACGTGATCAACCCTCAGTTAATCAAATGTGGATTATCTGCGGCAAATTTTAAATCTATGCTGGCTCTTCCACCATTTGTCTGTGAGTATTCAAGGAGTGAACACTCATTTTAATACTAGCCCAATACTAGCCCAAGCAAAATATACTTATGGAAGCTAAACTGTTGCAAATTTTTTTTCCCACTAATTCAAACATTAGCGAGCTAATTCTCTACATGCATGGGTTATTTTCATCTTAACCATCTTTTAAAGTCCAACTAAAAATCTAGCACTCCCATGAAGCCTTTCTTGATTGAAGTGGTCAATAAAGCTCTTCCTATCCTGAAGATTTCATATAGTACCTGTTCTGCAATTCTTTAATACACTTTGCAATTCCGTACAGTTGTAACCTTTCTTAACCAAGTACTAGACTACTATGCTCCTTGAGGTGTCTTACCTTTGTACCTCCTTCAGTGACTATTAATGCACAGTCTGCATTAATAAATACACAGTTAAATCTATTAAGCACCTTCTTATGTGCAAGCCCTAGAGGAAATATGATGGTCTCTATCCCCAAAAAACTTACTAGTGTGGAGAATCAAATACTCCCTTTAACATTTTAATACTACCTTATACCACCTATCTTTTACCTGCCATTTAAAAAAGCATGGCTCCAAAGAAACACTGAAGTGTATGAAACTCAAAGAATAATATAAGCAAGGAACTATGACCAGCAATGGGAATGCTGAGACCAAGAGGAATCAGCTCCTTCTGTTTAAGAGCTTATATTCTACAAGGAGGATTAAGCCCTGAACAAAGATAAAGTACCCTACAAGGTGGGGAGTGACTGATGCAAAGGAAGAGACAAAGTGTATGGAATATGCATGGTGGGAGAGAAAGCCTAGGGTGAGGAATGGGAACAAGGAATATGAGGTGGGTCTGAAAGAAGTGGCCTGAGAGCAGAACATGGGAAGGAAATAACTCAATATCAGAAAAACTGAACAGGCTATTAATGAGTTACCATTATTAAAAAAAAAAAAAAACCAACTACTGGGACTAGATGGATTAGATCACACATTCAAAAAACAAGTAATTCCAATGCCATAAAACTTTTTTTAAGAGAGAAAATATTCGTTCTACAAGACAAATATGGGGGGGCAGCTAGGTGGCGCAGTGGATAGAGCACTGGCCCTGAAGTCAGGAGGACCTGAGTTCAAATGTGGCCTCAGACCAAACACTTGACACTTGCTAGCTGTGTGACCTTGGGCAAGTCACTTAACCCCAATTGCCTTAAAAAAAAAAAAAGCGTGGGACCACCACTTTTGGACCTTAATATCACAGTCTATGAGGTGCTTAAAGAGGAGGCAGAAATGTCACTAAGAATAAATATGGAAAAAGGAACTTGAATGAAACAAATACATATGGGATAGATCTGTGCTAGACTTGATATAATTGTGAAGGCATGGACAGACCAGTTGTACTAGGTATCTACAAAGATACCTAAGGTATGGGGAAATTTTTGCATTTAATTACTGACACAGAAAGCATTGTTAACTACCAATCCATATGTCTACTGTCCCATCTATATAAAATATTTAGTAGACTCATCTATATATGAATTAAGGACATCTTTAATGCAGGAATTAGTAGGGTACAAGCAAGCTTTCGCAAACAATATTCAACAACGGATCATATCTTTACTATCTCAAAATTAACTGAAAGATGGAGATAAAATCCTATTGTGTTTATTGATTACAAAAATATTAGAATTTACAGCAAGGTGTCTCTCATCCATATATAAAAATCATTCAAGACTCCTAGAAAAATTCCTTCTCAATGGCCTTCAAATAATAAACATCAGGCAAGGCATAAAAACAGAGAGATGTATATTTGCCAAAATTATGTAGTATTGAGACCAAGAAGATTCAGAGATGAGTCCAAGATTCCCTTTGTATGGTGAGGTCCTCTACACGCTCCTATTTATGGATGATATTATGTTGACTGCATCACACTCCCATTTTTAACAGGTCTCAATATTTTATTATTCACATATCTGAATTCTAAAGAAAAGTTGTTGATACATAAGTTAATAATGTTGATTTAAACCATAGGAATATGTATTTTGATTTTAGCACCACTACTGATCATGCTTCTAGTATTGGAAAACATTAATTTTCTGTTAAGAGTTATTGCTAGGGCACTTTGTTGTTAGCTGTCTGTCTTCTAATGAATCTGTCTCTAAAATGGCAACAGAATATTTCTAATCCTATGCTGGTTCCACCCACACAATCCATTCTCATTCAATTTCCCCAGCTCAAGATAGCTGCATCTAAAATTTGCTTAATTGGTATCAGATATATTTAAAACAAGCTAACACATAAAAAATATAGAATCTGTAAAAATCTAAGGTGTGATATACTTGCTAAGCACAGGGAATCACATAACTGAGTAAGAAAACCATTTCACATTGTGAGTTAGAGAAAAGTAAAGCAACAGCAACAAGAAAAGTCCTATAACAAATCATGTTTGACAGAATTATAACAAAGGCTTTTCTTATGATCATGGACTTTGTGGATAACTCTCAGGGAAGCCATAAAAACTGAGGTTTAATTAGATGGTTTCTAAGATCTCTTCCATGTTATAAGAGAGAGTTTTCCCTCCCCTTAGGGGTAGAAGCAAGAGGGAGAGAGGTATTATGAGAAGAGATGTAAAAGTAGGTAGTAACAGTTATGCCAAAAAAAAAAAAAAAAAACCAAAACAAGAAAAAGAGCAAGTATCATAAAATATTTTAAAAATCAAGTCCAAACAGACACATATTAAACATAATATGTACTTTTAAAAAAATGAGCTTTTGTAGTAGATTCAGTTTCACATGAAAATGTTGTAGCAGAATGTGGATTAAAGTATTAATTTTAAAAAATAATATGTTAAAGATTTATTCCAATTTTAAAAAAAAGATCCTTTCCAACTAGAAGAACCTATGATTCTTGTCTATGGTACTCTGATCACAGTGTCAGGGGCTCAATGTTCTAATCTGGACCAAGATAATACACAAGTACAATCTTTCTAATTTTCCTTCTATTCTATATCTTAGACTCCTGGAAAAGCATTCAAATTGGAGAGTCAAAAGACTTGAGCTCAAGTCCTGATCCTGTCATTGATAAGGAATATAACCTTGGACAATTCACTTAATATCCCTAAGATTCAGTTTGATTATCATTATAGTAACTTAATAGCTGGCATTTCTATGGTGATTTACCATTTACAGAGCACTTTCTTTGAAACAATTGTGTGAAATTGGTAGATAAAGTATTATATCCTCATGTTTGTGGATAAGAAAATTGGGGCTCAATGTCAAGGACCACAATAAGAAAGTCTCCTGAATCGATCATTTGTGTTCTTTCCACTGCATATGCCAGACTGTCTCATTTCCCACCTACTTCACAGAGTTATTTTATCATCAATCAACCAATATTTAATCACCTACCTGCCAGGCACAATGCCAGGCACTAGAGGTACAAAGGAAAAAATGGAATTGTTCTTGTCTTCAAAGAGCTTACACTCTATACAGGGAGACCATATGTACATATTCAAGGACATATGCAGAATAAATACAAAATAAGTATAAGGAAGTTTTAAAGTACAAGGAAGGGCACAAGCAGGTAGGTGTGGGAAAAATGAGAGAAGGCCTCATGGAGAAGATACAGAGCTTGAACTGAGTCTTGAAAGCAACTAGGGAATCTACAGCAGTATGTAACTTTCTTAGGATAAATAATAATTTTGATATACTTTCATTTTGTTACGTCAATGGTTGTGTATAAATCTATGGACATGAGACTGACTTAAAGTCTGACCTAGAACAGATGAAAGTGGACTGTGCTGATTTCCTCATAGTTATGAATTATCTGGCAACTGAGTGCTGTATTTTGTGCTATAAACAATTGTTTTATTTTTCTCTTAATATTGTGTTTTTAATATTAATTCATGTAAAAGTTATGGCACACTTCAATGACTATTAGATATACTGCAGTACCTGTTGGTTTTAGTAAGTCAAGTTTTCCTACAATAAAACAGGATCAAAGGAAACTATGGTCAAAAATTTAAAATAGCACTAAGACCTAATAAACTATTGCTGAAAAACAAAACAAGTAAAGACATTCAGAGGCACCTAGCAACTGGAAAGGTTATTGCCTATTCCTCTAAAAGGAGGTGAAGGCTTAGTTAAGTTGAAAGAATAGCAAGACGACAAGTTTTTTTAAAATTGCTGCCAACCAATGATATGAAGAAAAACATCTGTTTAGTCTTTAGACTAAAGACTAGAGCACTGACAGTTGGAAAAAGGTAAATTTTACTGAAGCTTAATTTTTTACTCAAGGCTTAGTTGTTGTCAGAGAAGGTCCAGGTAAATCTATAAAATCTTTTGTAAAATATCAATTCCCCAAAATGTTTTTGGTATTTTTTAATTTTAGTGGACCTGGAAGTCTTTCTCTATCGAGGAAAAGATAAACTCTGGTAAATATACCGATACATTGAGAGGCAGAATTATTCCATAAATATAGAAATTCCC